GAAAGTCAGAATGTCTTGGCTATTTCTATAAGAGGTTATACTGAGATTCTCTAAGTTACTGTGTCACTAAGTTACAGGAGTAGTGCTGTTCTCCAGGTGTTAAAGGCTGTTAACAGGTTTTTCTATCTCATGTTTTTTAGCCACTTAAAAGTTCTAGAGATCTAACATACAAAGACTTCTTTGATCCTGTTGATGACAATGATGACTTAGTAGCTAATGATGCTGAAGACTATGAGAATGAAGAAGCCGATAGTGCTATTGAAAAGGAGAATGAAGAAAGCATGTCTGAGTAAGTATATGCATTATTTGCAGTTAAAATGCTCTTGCAGTTTTACACTAAATGTGCCACTCTGTTGAAGTAGAAAATGAAGTGTGAATTCTAGGTTCTCTTTATTCACCATTTGCCATTTTGTTTTCTGCTGTGTCATTTTGGATTGTATTATCATCTTAGTCAGAAAGTATTTTACTCCTCTCCTGAGTGTTTCTTGGTATTTATTTCACTAAATCAGATAAAAGCCATAACTTCAGCTATTGAAAGTTGGTTTTAATGTATGGAAGTTTCCCTAGTGTCTCTGCCTTCATTGAAAGTCTATTGTAGTTCTTAAGTGTGAGTTAGTCATACCAGGTTAAACTGCCAGGTAGTGAATGAAATATCTTCACGTAAAAGTGGTGACTTTTAAACTTTTAAACTCCTACTTTAGCATGCATTGTATTTTGATTTTACAGGGCTGAGGATATTAATGAAGCAATCATGGAAAATATGAGAAATAAAAAAGTTTCTTTTAGTTTGCCAGATGACAGTGAAACAGAAGATGTTACTGAAGTGCAATTAGAGAGGGGTATTGATCTCAGTGAGGTTAAGTCGTCTTTTGAGAAGAGACAGGAAAAGGTAATTATTTCATTTTTCTAATACTTTGAAACTGTGGCCATTGGTTTTTATTGATTGCTGAAGAAGTTAGAGAAACACGAAGAGGCTGCTTGCAACTTTAAGTGCTTTATGTATATCTGATGTACGTATAGAGTTATATGTTCTCAAATTTGTATGTGAGTAGGTATTGGAAGTGCCTGAAATGGCTATTTCTTTCTTCGAGTTTACTTGTGAACTGTTTTTAACTTCTTAGGAAATTTGTTTTCCAGATGAGTGAAAAAATAAAAAGTTTAGAAGAAGAGTTGCTGGAGGAGAAACCTTGGCAGCTTAAAGGGGAAGTGAGTGGACATAAGAGACCTGAAAATAGCCTTTTGGAGGAAACAGTACTCTTTGATCATGCAGTCCGAATGGGTGAGCAATGAAGGGTGGCTTTCTTGAAGGCATGTTGCCCTGTCACGTTGGATTGTCTTCTCTCTAAGCGTGCTGATAGCACCCTTGACTCAAGAGTAGGGTAACAAGAACAACGGTTAAACATTTCAGCACGTTTCTGAGGCTGTGTGCTTTCATTCTGGAAAATACAGGATACAACAATTTTATTGGTTCAATTTTAACTTGCTTGAACATTCCTTAATATAGTGGCAGACTTAATTGCTTTTGAGTCCCACATAATATGATTCTCCTTCCCATTCATATCTCTCTGCAGTAGAAGACAACAGTGTTACTTACTTAGCTTCACCTATCAACAAAAATCTCACACTACTACGTTTTTATTGAGGACTTACTTTCTTTTTTTATTCCTCATAACAAAAAGTATGCCTTGCTGCAGAAACATCAATGTTTTCTTTTTCTCAGCTCCTGTGATCACAGAAGAAACTACTTTTCAACTTGAAGATGTCATCAAGCAGAGAATATTGGATGAGGTTAATATCTTGCTTGCTCTTCAATAAAAGTATATATTGGAAGGATATTTAAGTACTTAAGGAAATTACACACTTATTATTGATTTTACTATTTTTTGCCCTGATCCACTGAAAATAACTTGAGCTATACATCTTCTATTGCATTTACAAGTGAGAGCGTGAACTTCCAGAGGTTTGGGGGAGCCATGTGTGAACTTGTTAATATACCAGATAAGTTCATGTTCTAAATAAGCTGTTGCACGTATTGGTCTGTACTTGCATTTGATCATTAATTTATCACCTTCTCAGGCGTGGGATGATGTAGTTCCAAAAGAAAAACCAAAAGAGGATGCCTTTGAATACAAGAAACGTATTACTTTGGATCATGAAAAGAGTAAATTGAGTCTGGCTGAGATCTATGAGCAAGAATACTTGAAACTTCACCAGGTGACATAAACAATGCTTTTTCTTTTGGTTTGAAGTTTTCATATGTAAATGTGTGTATTTACTTGTATGCTGCTACCTGTCTTTGCCTTTGTGGAAATACCTCAGTATTTCTGAGTGTTCATAGGTGGAATAGCGGTGAATTGCGTATTGTGTTCTCAATCTTGCTAAAGTAAAATTGTTTTAGGAATGATGTTGCAGTAACATTGCATTATTAATGCAGCAAAAAACAGAAGAAGAAGAAAATCCTGAGCACAAAGAAATTCAGGAGATGATGGATTCGCTGTTCCTAAAACTGGATGCGCTTTGTAATTTCCACTTCATGCCCAAACCAGTATGTACTTCTGTTTCAAAATTACTCTTTTTCTTTCTTTTTATTTATCTCCCAAACAGGAGATGTTCCATTTTCCAAGTATATTTTACATGAACATAGAACTTGTTCTGTTTTCATGTTAGATACATTAGATAATTGGTTGTAAATAAAAACAAATACCTAGTATATCCAGTTACCTATAAACTCCTGTGAAATGGTGTGCTCAGTCTTGAATGTTTCCTTATTTCTAGCCTGTGCCAGAAGTTAAAATAGTGTCAAACCTGCCGGCTATAAGCATGGAAGAAGTAGCACCTGTTGCTGTTAGCGATGCTGCTCTCTTAGCACCAGAGGAGATCAAGGTAATAAAAATCCTCACTTTTTTGTGTTCATTCTTTCTTTTATACTTCTATATATTTAAAAACAAACAAACAAAAAAAACAGTTGTCACAACAGTCAGAGAATTCTGCCTCTCAACCCAGGTATCCTAGGTTGTGATAGTATGATTGGGTTTTGTTCTTTACCTGTGATGGTAATTATCTCGGTGTATAGCTGAGTGGAAGAGGCAGTTGAATGGCAATAGAATCTATCAGCTGTACAGATAGCAGCTTCTGACAGTTTTTAATCTGTCTTAATGTGGTATTGCCCTAAGCTGGTTAAACATCTGAAATAATCAAAATGCTAAGACAGACTTGAATACTCTGAGGTGAGCTTTCTTTTATGTGCTTACGGATACAGAGATCTCTTTCTCTTTAGGAAAAGAACAAAGCAGGTGATGTAAAAACAGATGCAGAAAAGACTCCCACAGACAAAAAACGAGAGCGGAGAAAGAAAAAGCTTCGTAAACGTATAAAGCTCAGGGAAAAGGAAAAACGGCAAAAACTTCTTGAAAAGATGAAACCAGAACAAAACATGAAGCTCAGCAAAAAAGCTGCTGCAGCAAAATTGAAAAAGCTTACAAAAGAAGGCAAAGCATCACTACTCAAGGTATGGTGCTCTCAAATATCCCTGCATCATTTCATTTTCACTAGCTGTGGACCTCTAAAATCTGCAGGATAATGTTTAGCATACTTACAGGGAGAAGTTTCTTTCCTGTTCTTCTTTGTATAATTGCATCTACAGTCCCTTTGGATATCTTGGACCCAAATAGTGTGTGTGCTTGCCTGCCCAGAGCTTGTTACATAGTTTATGTTTGAGCAAATACGTCAGGTAAATATGACCTTTCAGAAGTCAATTAATTAGTTACAGATGATATGTGATTTCTTTTAAAGAACCGATAAATATGATGATGCTGTTTATATATTTCTGGGCTATAACGATTTGTCTGTTGACAGGATGAAGGAAAAGATAAGGCCGTGAAGTCATCCCAAGCCTTCTTCTCCCAATTACAAGATCAAGTGAGAATGCAAATCAAAGATGCAAACAAATTGAAGAAGAAACAAAAAAAGCAGAAAGACATCTCTGTCCATAAGCTTAAATTATAATTGACTTTTTTATATGTACTAGGTCTGTATATATCAGTACATACAGAAACAGCGTTTGTATTCTAATGCTGAATTGGAATGGTTATTAGTCTTTGTACATCATTAAAATGTTCTGGGAAGGCCTAAACTGTGATAAAGACATGTTCCTCTATTTTTTTTTATTTATTTTTTTTCATTCCAGAACAAAAACTTGGTGACATCAGCCACATCCATAACTATGTTTGTGATGTGACTTACAGGTGCCAGCTGTAAGCTATTGCTTTTTCTATACTTTTCTTTTTCTTTTAATTTAGTAGAGATGTAACAGTGTTTATTATAGCTTAAATTTTCAACCTGTAGTCTAGGGATGCTCTGTAATTGAATCTCTTTCTGTTTTGAGCAACTTAAGGCCACTTCAGGATATAAAAGTTTCCTTGAAGAGCGACTGCCTCTACCCTTACCCACTCTTGTCAGTAATGAAAGGATTGCTTCCCTTCAAAACCAGATAGCAAACAAGTGGTTAGCTACTGAAGATGTATATTAACATAGCTCTTTTTAACACAAGTTATTTGCTTTATTCATCTTAACTCTGCCTCAGCTGTGCTGCTCCTGCACAGTCGCAAGTGGACTCCTCCAGGAGCAGACTACTCTCTGAGGAGGGAGGAATGTGAAGCAGGGAGGCCATAGCTGCTTTTAAGGCAGCACCCACTATTGTTCTTACAGCGCTTTGACCAAGGTAGAGCTATGTCGGCAGTGCTGGGAAGCGTAAGCCCCACGTGACTCGCTCGGAGCTCTCGCGGGCGTTGTTCAGCCTTAGCCCCGCCGGGATTTCCCGGCTGCGGGCCGTGCCTTTCGCGCTGCCGCTCCGCGCTCAGCTGCCCGTGCCTGCCGTCCGCTCTGCTCGGCGCTGCGCTGCACGACCTGCCGGCGGGCGGCTCCGGGCCTGGGCGCGGGCGGCCGTTGGGCCTCAGGTGGCGATGCGGCGCTTGAGCGCGGCGCGGGGACTCTGGGCGGGTTCGGCGGGGCCGTGAGGGCGCCGGAGGAGTGCGGGGAGTGCTGCGGGCCGGATGGGTCGTGCAAAGGCAGTAGTCGCCAATGCCGCGGGAAGGCTCTGAAGTTCCATCATGTCCGAATCCAGGTCTTCAGGAAGGAGAAAAGCCCAGATCGCTTTGTCACCGAGTGCAAAGAAGAAAAAGAAAGAAGCGGCGAGGAAAACGAAAGATAAAGGAACGCCCTCTATACCTCCGCAGTCCTGCTCTATTATTTCGTTATTCAACAACGCGCCTCCTGCTAAAGTTAGCTGTCCCGTGTGTGGGCAGCTGGTGCCGAGGTACGGGATAAACCAGCACGTGGACCGGCTGTGTCGAAGCAGCTGTGCCGGCCTGGGTGCTGCTGCTGCTGGTGGTGATGGGGGTGCGGCGCTCGGCACCACACAGAGTCTGCCAGGCACACCTGTGAGCGGTAATTCCAGCCCGTATTGCTCGGAGCCCTCGCATCTGGGGACAAGTCCTTCCCAAAGCAGAGTGCTGAAAACAGAAGGCAGGGCAGTGCAGCACGTTAGTCCTTATTTTAGCAGTCGGGGTCCAGCCGGTGATGCTTACACTGAGCCCCTGGAGCAAACGGTTAAAGTCGTTTCTTTGGGAAGCTTGTCATCTAAACTGTCCAGAAGACGTCGCATCCAGAGGGGAAAACAGATCGTGTATAAGGAGATGGACTCCTCGCCTCCAGCTGCTCACAGCATGTGTGGCAGTGCTGCAGCACTGGATGGCAGTGCTGATGACATCTGTGCTGGGAGTAGTTCTCAGAAAGAAAATGAGCTTGTTCAGAGGGTGCACCAGGAGCAAAATCCCTTGGAAGAGTTTGAATTTCAAACTGAAATAGACGAATATAATAAGGGAGATGTTACAGATGTTGTTCAGGCATCGTTACCGGCTGATAGAGTGCTGTTTGGTGCAAGGAACTCCAGAGCGGGAAGTAGATCTAAAGGCGTGGTGCTCAGTCCCAGTAATTCTCAAACACCTCTGGCTGTTGGTACCTCAGCAGGGCTGGTCAGCAGTTCAGAGGTTGAGGCACAGCCTCGTGCTCAGCGTGTTCCGTCTTCAGAGATGGAAGTGGACTGTGGTACGCAAAGCTGCTTTAATGACAGTGATGAACAAGTACTTCCTGTGGAAGTTCTTGAAGACTTTAATTATGAGTTTAATCATAACTTAGCAGAAACTGTGGAAAAGGTGGATTCTCAAAATTCCGTTGGTGATATTTTAAATAAAATAAATGAGGTTAGCTCTTCTAGTCACCCATATTACCTCCGAAACTTTTTAATGGTGTTGCGAGCAGTGTTGGAGAATGAAGATGATCTGAGACTCTTTGATGAGCAAGATATGAACGTTATTACTCAGTTCTGCCAATTATCAGGTATCTGTCTGTTTTTATATTATCATGCTGTCTTTTGTAGAGAGAACTGTTTCATAGTTTTGAGTGAAGAGCACTGTACCAACAGGCAATTCAGCTTGTTAAACTTAATGGAAGAAAGTCCTTTTTCTCAGGAGACATGTCCCTCCAGAAGCTTCCTGCAGGTAAACTTATCAAATGCTGCTTTAATGGACTGTAATAATAAACAGGGAAGAGATGGGTGAAGTAAGGAGAGAATTTAAAGTATGTGTATATGATTGTGCACATTTCTGTAGCTTAACTTGCAAAATACCTTTTTTTAATAGAATCTTAAGTCAACTTTCTTCAGCATTTAACTTCAATTCACAGGAATAGTTATCAGTTAGCACTGTGTTTTGCTTTTTTGGTTTCTTTTGTAGTGAAACACTGAAGTTTTTATGAATAATACACATGGAAATTCTGCAGAATGTGGTTACAAAGAGGTCTGTGCTGTGCACACAGACCTTGAAAAAAGTAGTTCTGAAATGGTGTGTTTCTGAGCTCTGGTTCTGCGTGTTTCCAGGTGACTTTTATGCTTGGTTTGAATACATAGTTATCCCAATTATGTAATGATTTTGAATGCTAACTGCTAATTACCAGTCATTTTCTTGCAAGTCTCGTGGTGCTTTTAACTCTCATTAGCCATAATATTTGAGATTTAAACCCACCATTTAAATGTTGCTTGAATCCTACACGGAAGGTTTTACTGTAAAAAGGGCGGAATTTAACCCGAGTTAAAACTATCCCTCCAAATTTACATGTATGTTCTTAATTTGTCATAAGTTGTAATTAAGAATGGATTTACCAGTATTTCTGCTAACTTGGGGCATCAAAATAGAAATAAGTTTCTATTAACCAGAAGAATACTCATCTTAGAGTATTGAAGCCATAGCTGTCTATGTTGCTGTCGGCTACTGTGGTAACACACAGATACCTGACAAAATATTTGTATGCTTATGCTCTTATGAGCTGTGTGCATCTGAGCTGAACGTGCAGAACTGCCAAAATGTTGCATGCGTATCTGCTGGTAGAAAATCAGTTGGAAAGCATTCTGCACTTAGCGATGTGTTGTGTTAGGTCAGCTTGGTTTAGCTAGTAGTCTGTGGAGTGTGTCACGCTGAAGAAGACTAGTATTTCGAAACTGACACGCATCTTGCTGTTCTTCCTCTCTAGAGATTATATTTAGGTTAGATATCAGGAAAAACTTCTTCACAGAAGGAGTTGTTGAGCACTGGAATAGGCTCCCCAAGGATGTGGAGTCACCGTCCCTGGGTGTGTTCAAAAACTGTTTGGATGTGGTGCTCAGGGACATGACTTAGCAGAGGGTTGTTAGAGCTGGGGTGGTACGGTAAGGTTGTGGTTGGACTTGATGATCTTTAAGGTCTTTTCCAACCTGAGCAATTCCCTCCTATTCACTTTTTTCCTGCACTAGCATACTGTCTTTAGACCAGCTGTTTCTCCATTTTCTGTCTTACTGCAGACTGGAAGAAAACTTTCTTAATTATTTAGAGCTCTGTGTTCTTTAATGTTTGTTTCTAAAAAGTCCTAACAACACTGTAGATTGACACCACAGGACATTAGAAAAGAGAGTATCAAGGCTGTAACTTATGACTAACAACTATGTGAAATTTTTCCAAGCCCAGTTGGAGGCTTTCAACAAAGTTATTGCTAATGCCTTTTGTAGATGTGGAGAATAGCAGCGTGATGTTGGGTTAGTGCATATGATGTTACAAAGTTTTAGTACAGAGTGCTGGGTGGCAAAAATGAAGACATGTTTGCTCATGCTTTTTAGGAAAAATAGAGCCCTGATGAGTAGTCTCAGTTCCTTTATTTAAAAAAAAAAAAGTAAACACATCTGTTTCTTTATGGAGCACTTAAGCTGTGGTCAGGCAGCCTGCAGAAAAGGTCTTCTGGTCTTACATTAAGCAGCTGGAAGACCATATTAGTGTTATTTCATCTGTCCTAGTGGAAAAGTCAGCTGAGTTAACTCCAACCACGTAAAGAGATGATTCTTAAGAAAGGGTGAAGAAACTTCAGGGGAGGAAGTAGACCTCTACACTTTGGCATTTCTACAGTGATTGCTTCCTTACAATCAAATTATTTTAGATTGTATTGTAATAATGAAATGCAGTAACACTGAGCACTTAAAATGCTGACGTAAGTTGAGACTATCTTAAGTAAGATGAGATGATAACATAGGACTTTATTTATCAGGAGTCAGGAAAGGCCACTCGGCAAGGGATGGTGAGCCAGCAGCACAAGAAACGTGGTTGGAAAGCATTAAGTCAATAGAGAATGAATTCTGGACAAGTGATGCAACACTTTTTACCTTCAAGAAACCTTGGACAGAATGAATAGTTCAGGTAGATGGGATGTTTGTTCCACATTCGTAGTTTCTACCCAAGCAAGCGTTGCTTCTTGGTTATCATAACAAGAAAAAGTGCATACACTTTTTAAATTGTTATTTGTTATTCATTTTTATTTTATATTTGTTATTCAAATCCTTTAGAAAGAAAACAGTCCTCACATGCCTTTCCTGAAAATTTCCCACACGCCGATTTAGGTCAGATTCCATGGTGGAGAAAGGATGTCAGTGTGTTACTCAACTCTTTTCTTCCAGATTTGAAAAATGGGGAGATAACCTTACAGAGAAAATAACGAGCTGAGGTGTCTGAATGTAGTTATGTCAGTGAACTGAGCCTGGAAACACTCTATTAACAAAAAGGCTGAAGAAGTCTGCGTGAGGACAAGAGAACAGTTAAATAAGCATGTAAAAATCAATTCTTATTTCTTAAACATATCTATGTCTGGTAGTGTTTCAGTGTCTGTTTTTGTTAAGGATCAGTTTCAGTTCAGCAGCAGCAGACAGGGATAAGCAAATTGATGAGGGGTGACAAGTGAGGTAGGTATTTAAAAGGGTGCTGAAGGTAATAACAGTGACTAGGCTTTTTTCTGCTAAGATGTTATAAGTTTTTATTTGGTTGAATTTCAGCATAGTTAGTGAATTCAGAGTATCTTTTAAAGTTGCTTTAAGTGAAATCTTCCCTGATAAAACATCAAAGAGTATTTTGGTTGTTGGTTTTGGTTTTTTTTTTTTTTTACTCCTTATCTTCAGTTGATGTACTAGTAAAGCTTATGTACATTTGGTAAAGATAAGAGTCTGAAGACAGATACACTGAGATGTATTGTGTGATTCTGAAATCACTCCACAACTTCTTTTGTTCCTCCATCATCAGATGGTTAGTTATTGAGTGAGTGTTAAAGAAAGCAGAAGATCTATTTAATATCACACAGCTTGAAGAATAAAGTTGCCTTTTCCTAGACAACAAACCATTCCTTAAAGGGTAAGCATTGCCAAAATACATTGTGGCAATGTTCATTACCTATCAAATACTTTGTGATAATTACTGTTATCTTACCAAGTTTGTCTTAAGGGTGCAGGCAGGTTTAAAATGTGTTTTAGAGGACATCTGCATTTAAGTTCTTTTTGTAGGTGAGGTATGCATAGCATCAGGTTCTAGAATTTAATTTTCTTGTTTTGCTTCCTTGTTTCAACTACAATTTGCAGTTGGTGGGCAGAAGTTATATGTGAGACTTTTTCAACGTAAGCTGAACTGGTTAAAAGTGAACAAAATTGAGTATGAAGAGATAGCTAAGGATTTGTCACCAATAATTGAAGAACTGGTTGAAGCCAGATTTTTGCAAACAGGTATGGCCTGCATTGGTAAGTATTCAAAGTATTAGAAGTAAAATATGGAGTTGTGGCACGTTAGCATTTAATGCTCTACGTGTTTGTCCTTCCCATGAGAATTAGAAGAGCACAATAACTAAAGGTTTTGGGTCCATGAGCCCTGTGTTATATTGCATTAATAATGAAAACAGTGCATAGGAGATAGTAGGGAGAGATGAATAAATGTTAGTGTCATTGATGCACCTGTAGGCCTTACTTGCCTTCATCAGCCTCATCTTACACCCTGAGCTGTGCATCATCTGCATGTTGGTCCAGGAGCTCCAGTTGGTATCTCTCAGTAGTGCCAGGAGCTGTCTTACAGGTGTACCTGCCTTCATCTCTGTCAAGGTTTGCTGGGTGGACCTCTAACCAGTGCTTCAGTTGTTTGTTTCCAGTCTCACCTACAGCCATTTACTGTGGATGGGACTCAGACTTAAACTGTAGGCTTGTTTCTAACCCAATGTCTGGCTCGTCTTTTAGATGAACCATCATTATGTCTTTCTTGGGGCTGCCAGTAGAGACTGTTACCAGGACTTTTGATCTGCCCATTCTCTCAATAATGGTGGGGCTGCACAGGGGGATGGTGAAGGCACTGCCCATGCTGTGATCACCCTTGATTCCTGGCTAACTGCTCCCTGTGGAGCAGCCCTGCTCATGCTTCTCCCTGGCAGTCCATTTGATTTTTTGCACTGGGCAAACGGTTTCAATCATCAGGAAGACTGAGGCTCTTTCTGAACAGCAGATTTTGTGACCTAGCAAAATTTCCTTGTGTTTGCTTTGCTTTACCAAGGGATTTTTTTCTGATTATTCCATTCCTTCGTACTGGACCTTTGAAAATAATGAAGTTCAAGCTGGACTGGGTAGCATCAGTAATATATTTTTGAAGAATCTAAATCATTAAATTGGGTTATATCAGTGTGCTATACTTTGAACTGTTGCTTGAGTGTGCATGTATAACAAACGTATGTGGATTGTTTTATTTCTAGAATCTGAGCTGGAAGACCTGTGTGAAGGTTTGGATTTGCTTTCTGCCCCTGAACTAAAATCTTTAGCAAAGATCTTTCACTTGCCAAATCCAAATGGTCAGAAACAACAACTTGTGGATGATTTCCTGAGGTTGGCAAAACAACGTTCCATCTTCAGCAGGAATCAGGCTGGTATTGGGACTGTTATTTTAAAAAGGTACCTCTTAAGCTGTTTAAATCTGCAGTTAAGTTTTGCAAGCAGATGCATGTTATCTTTTGAAGAACTAAATCAACATGCCTTTTGATGAGAGTTCAGTAAATTCAAATATAATAATAATTAAAAAAAGGCAGTATTAAATATTGATTCACAGTTTACTGACTTATAATTTCTTGATCAAACAGAAGAGGAAGAATCAGACCCCTTTTAAAACAGCGCCGTGCTTTTCTGCTCTGGGCACTATTATCCCTTTCTTTTTTTTTTTGTTTACTTAAACTATATGAAGGAAGGTTAAGAAAAAATGCGTTCAGGAAATGGAAAAGAACTTGGTAAACTTAGATTCTAAAAATGTCCCCTACCCTTCTCCAAGAAAAAAAGGCTGTTAGTTACTTGCTTAATTGTATCAGCTTTGGGAAGGTACTGCCTTTCTCTGTAGTCAACAGCTAAAATACTAGTTGCTCTCTAAGGTTAGAGGAAATCTTGTATAAATCTGTGCTGCCCTGTGAACAGAAATCTTATCTTGTATGAAATGACTTTATGATGATTCTAAACCACAGGATCTAAAATTGTGATCTTTAAATGCTGCCCTAACAGCTAACCACATCTTGATGCATGTTGGCAACACTTGGTGTAGCAACAGGAGTGGTTGCGCTCAAAGGGCAGTTAGTTCCAATTCTGTTCTTCCTGGGGTTTGGTCCTTGCGCTTTTTTTTTAGTTAAAGCATTTTCACTTTAGGTTGTGGATTCTGTGTTGTTTCTCAAGGGGCTTTTTGGGGGAAAAATTGCAAGAGTGGTTATGCACGGAACAGGCTTCCCAGGGCAGTGGTCACAGCCCTAAGCTCCTGGAGTTCCAGGAGCATTTGGATACAGCTCTCAGGCATAGGGTTTGAATTTTGGCTGGTCCTGTGTGGAGCCAGGACTTGTTGGATTTGTGGGTCCCCTCTGGCTCAGGATATTCTTTGAAAGTGGAGGTTAAACATTAGATTGTGTGAGAATAAAACAATTCTCATAATGTATTTGAATATTCAAATATTTATTAGTGATGGGGGAAGGTGATTTGTATAATCACTTCACTTGTTCTTCCAGGGCAAAGGATCTGGCGGGAAGATCAGTCAGAATATGTAAAGGCCCTCGAGCTGTCTTTTCTCGAATCCTGCTGCTATTTTCCCTGTCTGAATCAGTGGAGGATGAAGAAGCTGGCAGTGCTGGTCAAGGGCAGCTCTTCACAGTTCTGATGGTAAACATGGGACGTATGGTGTTCCCCAGTTATGCTGTGAATAGGAAAACACAAGTCTTCCAGGACAGAGAGGATCTTATCAGGTAGGGGGAGCTTTGGCAATTTGGAAGTCTGTTTTCTTCTACAGAAGCCTTACTACAGTACTTACGTAGGCAGATAAGATACTTTTGTAGAACTGCAGATGTGAATAAGTAGAATTGCACTTTTGCAGTGATCTAAGATGCTTTTCTGTGTCTATGTTAGACTTGTAATTCACAATAGCTTGTACACTGAACTAGAATAGAATATTAACTTGCTTAATGGTCATCTGCTGGTGAAAGTTGTGTCTGACATTGCTGTGATGATTATTAGAAAAAATCCTGAACAAAACTAGAAATATGTTCCCTGGTTTTATAAGTACTTCAAAATGTAACATGTGCATCTCTGCTGATTGTACAAGATTAAGAATAAAGTCGACTGCATGGTTCAGTAGCTTTGGAGACTGGAAGGGAATTTTTAGAAAGTATTGTATGAAGGAACAGATCTATTTTAATTATAAATGCTTCTTGATTCTAAAGCAGTAATTATGTTTTTGTTCCCTTAGGTATGCAAATGCTGCTCACCTGTCAAACGATATAGCCACTGCAATGGTAAATGGGAACTGGGAAGAAGCTCATCATCTGTATGTGTGTGCAAAAGAAACTTGGAACAGTCTGAAAGATCACCCCTCTTTGAGGTAGTAAACTGGAAACTGCTGTTCATATGTGACTGTTAGGTGCATTGTCTTAATTTTTGTTTGGAGGGAGGCTGTTAAACTCATTCAAGCCTAATAAAATTAAGGATCTTGAATGTTCTTGAAAGCTCTGAACTTCCTGCTGTTTGTTTAGCTTTTAAGTGCTATATATGAAAAGGCTTTGTTTTTTTCCTAAAGCCTTGGGAATGAATCGGTAGCATGGATAAGGCACTCAGACATTTCTGTTCTACATGCCAGTGTGGGAGAACAAGAGCCTTATTTTTCCCTTGTCATAGTTTGGTTTTATGGCTTTTAGGCCAGTAACAATCAGCAGAGTTGAAAATTCACTGTGAACAAAAGAATGTTGCAAAGGTTATGGGAAAACATACTGGGTTACTCATATGTCGAAGCTTCCAAGTGTGTGTCATTCAGGAAACATAACTAAAGATCTGAGAACTGAAGTAATGTGGACTATTTTTGAGGCATCCTTCATTAGTTATTATTTTAATTATTTTGATTTCTGGCTTAATGATGCACAGAAAGTTTAAGCATTAAATTTGACGTATTCATTGTCAATACAACTGATTTAAGCTGGTATTCATAGAGAGTGATGTGGAGGTCAGTTCTGTTTCACACTATGGCAGTGTGAAATTTTGTGAAGTATTTGAATAACTCAGTAATTTCTTGGAACATAGAGGTGCCTGCACAGAGGAAGTCCTTGTTACAGCCTTTCCCTTTTGTTCAGCTGAGTTTCTGAGGTGATCCTTCTGACTTCAGAGAACAAGATGGCAGTAAGGAAGCATGATGTAATAGCCTATTATTTTGGATCTCATGCAGAAGTTGTTAATTAATGATTCCTCTTCTCTGGGATCAAAAAATGTGACACAAATGCAGCTTACTGGCCCTACCTAGCTTACGTTTGGGTTCTTGACTTTGTACCTGTAATACTCGGTTCATACATAAGACATTTCATGTTTTGAATGCTTTAGTTCTTATTTTTGTTAGAGTGTTTTAAGATGAATTAAAATTGTTCTCCTGAGCTCCTCTCACCTTTCAGCAATCACAGAGTTCTACCCGAGTATCTGCGACATTTCACAGTTGGCTGGAAATACACAAGGATACTTTCTCAAGGTGTTGAAATTTTGCAGAGACTTCACATGTATGAGGTAAAGTGGTGAAGTGAACAGCAAAACATTTTGAATGTAGCATTATACATTGGTTTGTATTTCTGATGTGGATGGCAAGTGGTGATGTTTGCCATAGCTTCCTACACTTCTCGTAACGTTACTTTCAAGTATACGGTGTCTCTTTTTTTTGCTGCTGTAGAAGCTATTAGAAGAAACCCAGATTTTAAAAATTGCTTTTATGTATGCTTATGCTTTAGAGATTTCCCATGTGCAGTGTGCTGTAGTGCTGTTTCTGAGACATTACTTCGTTATTTGAAGGTACATGTGTTTCACTAGTTTGGTTATTACCTTTAAAAATGAAAAATCTTGGAAGAGAAGTCTTTTGTGGAATCTCTGGCCTCTTCACTTGAGGTATCAAGTTCTCCAAAGGCCTCTGATTTATTTGATACAGCAAAACAGATTACTCAAAAAAAGGCTTTGCCTATTTTACTTGGGTTGGCTAACTTACATGTTTACATAGAAATAGAGTTCCTAAATTATACCCAGGCAACTGAATACTTGGGTGCAGAAGTAAAAATATTGTTTGAATTGTTCTAAGTTTTTATAGTACCCAATTAGAAAGAAAAATGATAAGCAAATTATATAATGGAACTTCAGCTTGGTTTTCTGACTTTGCTAATGAAGACCCGCTTCCGTTGCTGCAGGCAGCAGTGCAGGAGCTGCAGGCGCTTTTGGCTCAGGACGTGTATTGTACCGACAGCAGGGGGCGCTGGTGGGATCGCCTCGCTCTGAATTTACATCAGCACTTGAAAAAAACCCCGCAGGTAACTTTCCAGCTGAGTGCTGTATGACTGCAAGCACTGCAGGTGCTGGGTGGAAACATTTGAAAAGTATATTGTTTTGTGAAAGGCATAGCTGGGTGGGCTCTTCTGAAAATGCAGATGTTAGAAATCCCAGTTTCTGCATGTTTTCTGTTGCATTAGATTATGAAATTGTTATAAGGAAATACTGCCATAAGTTGTCTAGTTTCTGCATCGTCTCTTCTGCATCTTGTAATTTCACATCAGGCTTTTCCAAATTTCAAATTGGAAATTGTATAGAAGAAGAGTTAGTCTTGGCTCCTCATTTATACGTTAGGACAAAATGCCTTTCCCAAGTCACAGATGAGTAAATCAGAATCATAATGTGAGTGCATTTTTAAAATTTCCAACTTAGTCCTGGATTATCTTCGGTGCAGTTGTGCATTTGTCTAAAATGTGTTCCAGGTCTGCATTCTTGCACAGCTGATCTGGTCCTTCAGTTTCCATATTAAGTACTGTGAAGAAACTGGCTTAAAAGTGTTAAACTGATTTGCTCAAGTGTTAAGTTTTTTTTCTGGTCACTTACTTAGAATTTGAACTTACTCAGTCTTACATTGATAGAGCAAATGGAGAATAATTCCTTCTCAGCACACCCAGACTTTGAATATAGAGGCCTTCTGATGCAAAATAAGATGATAAAACTTTATTACAGACATATGAAACCTGGCCCTATCTTACATGCTGGGTTTTCATATTCGTATACTCCCTGAATCAGTTAGTCCTTCGGGCTTGGTAAGGGCAGACAGATGTGTGTTAGTCTTTCTAAGTTAGTGCTTGTTATGTGGCTCTTTGCCAGGCCGTTGACTGCATTAGGAATGGACTGGCTGACCCGTTTGTACGGACGGGGCACCGTCTCGCTCTCTACCTGCGGGCTCTACGCATCAGGGACTCACCAAGCTGCAGGCAGCTCAGATGCCTTTTTCATGATTTGCCAGGCATAACTGTGGAGGATGTGACACACGTGAGTAAAGATACTGGGTACTTCTGAAACACCCAGCTCCATAAGCCTTTACTGTTCTGACAAGAAGTGATTTGGGAGGCTGTCAGCATCAGCTGTTCACCAACGGCTTACTCATGCTGTAGGAAAGTGAATATAAATGTGTTTCTGAAACAAAAATGTACAAAATACTTTTGTACAAATCTTACCAGATATAAACCCCAAGAATTTACCACTTAACACCCTCAGAACTTCTCTGATGGAAGTCAGAGTCTGAGCAAGAAGTCTGGGTATTACTGCTTATGTGTTCAGGCATTCTGTATTTGAGAAAAAGTTATTGGATGTTGCGAGCATAAGGTTAATGGCACAAGAAAATGCAAGGGTTTATTTTTCACTAATATACACAATGCAGCTATGCTATATAATAGACTTTCATCATATTGGAGCATTTCTTTTTTTTACTGTTGCAAAGAAATCAGGGCACTTCACGCCCTGATCTGGAAGTCTGGGATGCTACACAGAATACACTCAGGTGGAGACAGAGAGCTGCTCCTCCATCTGGACTGTCACAAGTCCATGGGACTGCATGGGCTTCATCCTAGCGTGCTGAGGGAGCTGGCAGGGCCAATTACCGAGCTGCTCTTGGCCATCTACCAGCACTCCTGGTTAACTGGAGAGGTCCCAGAGGATTGGAGGCTTGCCAACGTGACTTTCATCTACAAGAAGGGCCATAAGGAGGATCTGGGGAATTACAGGCCTGTCAGCCTGACCTCAGTACCAGGGAAAGTTATGGAGCAAATCATCTTGGGTGACATCACATGACATGTGCATAGGTGATGTCTGGGGGATCAGGCCCAGCCAACACAGGTTCATGAAAGGCAGGTTGTGCTTGACCAACCTCATCTCTTTCTATGACTGGGTGACTAAACTGGTAAACAAGGGAAAGGCTGTTGATGTAGTCTACCTAGACACTTCAGCAAAGCCTTTGGCATGGTCTCTCACAGTATTCTCCTGGGGAAGCTGGCTGCCCGTGACCTGGATAAGTATACCCTTCTTTGGGTAAGGAACTGGCTAGAGGGCCGTGCCCAGAGGGTAGTGGTCAGTGGAGTTAAGTCCAGCTGGCAACCTGTTACAAGTGGTGTCCCCCAGGGGTTGGTACTGGGACCCATCTTGTTTAATATCTATTGATTACCTAAATCAGGGGATTGAGTGCACCCTCAGTAAGTTTGCAGATGACATCAAGCTGGGAGGTAGTGTCGATCTGCCTGAGGGTAGGGAGGCTCTTCAAAGAGATTTAGATAAGCTGGATCACTAGGCTGAGGTGAATGGAATGAGGTTCAACAAGGCCAAGTGCTGAGTCCTGCTCTGTAGCCACAACAACCCCATGCAGCACTCTAGGCTTGGGGATGAGGGGCTGGATGACTGTGAAGAAGAAAGGAACCTGTGGGTGTTGGTTGATGCTTGGCTGAACATGAGCCAACAGTGTGCCCAGGTGGCCAAGAGGGCCAACAGCATCCTGGCCTGCATTAGAAATAGTGTGGCCAGCAGGAGCAGGGAGGTGATCATCCCCCTGTATTCAGCACTGGTGAGGCCGCACCTCGAGTGCTGTGTTCAGTTTTGGGCCCCTCACTTCAAGAAAGAGGCCCTGGAGCGTGTCCAGAAAAGGGAAACAAAGTGGTGAGAGGTCTGGAGCACAAATCCTATGAGGAGCAGCTGAGGGAGCTGGGATCGTTCAGTCTGGAGAAGAGGAGGCTCAGAGGAGACCTCATGGCGTTCTGCAACTTCCTGAAGGAAGGCTGTGATGAGGAGGGGTTTGGCCTTTTCTCCCAGGCAACAAACAGGATCCGAGGAAATGGACGCAAGTTGTACCAGAGGAGGTTTAGGTTGGACATGAGGAAAAGCTTTTTCTCTCAGAAAGTGGAATGGCTGCCCAGGGAGGTGGTGGAGTCGCCATCCCTGGCAGCTTTCAAGAGGCGTCTGGATGAGGAGCTATGAGATATGGGTTGGTAATGGGAGGGTGGTTGGACTTAGATGATCTTGTAGGGCCTTTCCAACCTTGTGATTCTGTGATCTGTGTCCAGACAGTCAGAGCAGAGCACCTTTCTCCCTCAGCATACCTCCCTATAGCCCTGCTCATCTCAGGCCAGAATTTGTTATTGTCCATATTCTTTCTTCCTGGTTTTGCAGATGGAAACAGTAACAGTTCAGCATTTGGGGGAGAATTTCTTTTTTTTTTTTTTTTCTTAAAAATTTGTCAGTTTATAAAAACTGATTTGCTTTGAACGGAATGGCTTTTGGGGAATAACCAGTTAAATATTTTATGTAGTTCCTTCCAAAAGCCAATCTAGTTCTGGTTTAAAAAAAAAAAAAGAAAATTTGTGATGCTGGAAAGTAACGAGTTGGTTTAATATTTTCAGGTTACAATCAAGGGAAAGATGTGTCCTCAAACAGGAGTGGGAAAATCTGTGTTTCTAATGGAGGATATCAGTGATGAAGAAGAAGGAGGCAAAGACTGCAGTGTATCCACAGTCATGTGCTCAGTTGAGGAGCTTGCATTAACTCATTACAGACAGAATGGTTTTGATCAGGGTAACAGTAACTCTTTTTTATAGTAAGATAACTATGGGAGCAAAGAACCAATTTACTAAGCAATTTAGGTAATTAATTAGACATGTTTTTTGTCTGATTGTGTTCCTTCCTCAAAATGTTCTCTGTGTTTTCCTGCTGACCTTTCTGGTCTGTGAACTTCATATGAAATTGTTGTAGAAGTTAATAATGTTTCCATTTTTGTGATTGAAATACTTGTATTTTAAAATTTTGCTTTTCAGGTATTCATGGAGAGGGTTCAACGTTTATTACACTGTATGGTATTCTAATGTGGGATATCATTTTCATGGATGGCATACCTGATGTCTTCAGAAATTCCTATCAGGTATTTTTGAAAGGCTGTGTTAGTTCCTTCAGCCATATTGTTGTAGGCTCTGTAGCCGTGTTAGCACTCTCATCCTGGACTGTATTCACATTTCATTCTGAGGGACTTTTCAGACAAGGCTTGGCAGTACTTGTTGTGTGCTGCTGTGTGGGGCTCGTTGCTGAAGGGCTTCTCAGTGGCAGAGTGGCATGTGAGCCTGCACCGACTGTCAGATGGGGTGGGATTCATTGGGTGAAAAGCAGCTGTCCTGTATCTGATCTCACTGGTTGAAGTGTTCTTTATAACCAGTGGTAGAACTTGTATTCCATTTTATAATTCATGTTTGAAGATGACACGTTCCATTAAAAATACATTTTCAATATATTTTCTTCAATTACTTTTAAAGGGGAATGCATTTTCCTTTAACTTCAGGTTTCAGATTTGTGAGTGCCCACCTCCATCTGCCCTGCCCTGCCTTACCTATCATCTCCTTTCGTATCTAATTAGCGGGCACTGGAAATATCTTTTTGTAAGTGGGGGAGCTGGAGCTAAAGTGATGTGAAAATGTAGCAAACTGATGGTTTTTATTAGGCCAGTAGGGTTAAACTCAAGCCTATGGCTGCGTGAGTCTCTCAAAGCTGAAACGCAACTTGTTTTTTGATTTGGGTTGACCTGTGTTCCTCAAAATGTCTTTTTCAAGTTGCTTTCTGTTTGTGTATGACCAAGTCTGTATGGGGTTAAGTAAGGTTAAGTGTTTGCAGGGTAAGCAGACCAAGCTGATTGGTCTTGGAAGGTTGAGGTGGGACATAAGGGAATTTGCAGGCTCACAGCAGCCTTGATCAGGATTCCAAATCCCAACTGGGAGTTAGCTGAGCACAAGCCCTTTATTTTCTATGTATTAATGGGATTTTTTACTGGAGTTCAAAAAAAAAAAACAAAACACCACCACAGCAGCATGGGCTGAGATGGGGCCGGTGTTTGCTGCACTGTCATCAACTGTTTGTTGTAATATACAATTTTTTCCCTATTAAATTGAGGAGGATGCATTTGAATTACATTGTCTGTAAACGAAGTGGTAGTTCAGATGGAGAACAGTATAAAGTAGGGCATTGTCATTCTTGGAGTTGCTGCTTTGCCAGCAGATCCTCAGCACTGTGTTTACCTTCTCATGCAGATGTTCCCCCTGGATTTGTACACTGACTGCTTCTATGAGAACAGGAGGGATGCCATTGAGGCCAGGCTCCAGCAGCTTCACGGAGCTTCTTTGGAGACTCTGGCAAACTTGATTGCTGACATCTGGACCACGCAGGAGGGAAAAGCAGCAGCACTGGTTAGCTGGGGACTTTTTAGTTCCCTCCAGCAGGTTCAGGTAAATAATTCTTGTCCAGGATGGGTGTTCTGTTTTATTAAGCTCCCACACAGCTTCCGAATGCTCAGGAAATTAGTAAGGTTGACCTGAGGCACTAAGAAAACAAATTCCTTCGTCTTTGATGGTGAGGGGGGAACTGAGTGCGGACTTCAGCACAGTTTTCACTAATGCTAAGAAGTGCTGTTACCCTTTACAGAAATGGTCACTTTTCCTACAACAATCATTAGGAACACAGAGGGAAAATGGCTGTATTTAACTGGCCATCAAATATTCTTGTGGGAATTGAGAAATGGTTGTACAGTAAAGTGAAATGGTCAACTGTGTGACTTCTCTTACAGAGCCTTGTCTCTTGCCTTGGAGGAACGTTTCTGAGTGGTGTTTTTAGGCGACTTTCCAAAGATCTGCGCCACTGCAGAGGGGGGCTTCCTGATCTGGTGGTGTGGAGTACTCACAGTAATCACTTCAAGGTACGCTGGGAGACAGGTAGATGATGGCAGTGGTGCTCAGTAGATCCTGCCTTTTAGATATTACAACTTCCACTTGTCAGTCTATATAAACTGTATTTTCCTGTTGTGGTGGAGCTAAACCTGCTGCTCCTCTAATCAGCAGCTGTATGGCAAATGGTCAATGATTGTTTACCTGATGTTTTATTACATCTTTTGGTGTTGCTTTAATGGATGTAATAAACACCAGCAGGAGATGGCTAGGTAGTGTTGCAGAATAGGTCCTTTAGGTGAAAATTACAGTAAAGCAACTGTTATTCAATTGGCCATACAGATTCTCACTGCTGTTCACAAGGGGTGCTAAAGTCACCACTCAAAAATACATAGGACAACTACAGAACTCTGTTACAAAACAGATGGAGTAAACAGTCATGGTTTGCATCTTGTGTTGTGGAGGAATAGCGCTAGAAGACTGTTGGGTGCCTTAGCTGGAGCATCTTGTTATGCCTTTATAAAGCACAGCTGAATAACAAAAGTTCTCTGAAGCAGCTGCTGTACTTTATGTTGCAGTCTGTTGAAGCTGGAACTGTGATACTGGTGATGAGTGGCAGTTAAGGTTGGTAAGGGACCAGTTTTTAATCACTTAGGACCAGTTCCTCTGACTGTAGTTGGGTGGATAATTACTATATTAAATTCCAGTCTCTTTTAGTCAAGCTTTTTTAGGGATATTAATCATTCAGCACCTACTGGTCTTCCATTGTGTTCAGTCTGTATTATTTTTGTTGCAAATAGCCATAAAGGAAAGAGGTATTCTCTTAGCCTATGAAATGAACTGTTTTTCATTTCTTTCACACATACATGCACACAACTCATCATCCCCATTTCCTTGTAGCTCGTAGAAGTGAAAGGCCCCAACGATCGCCTGTCCCACAAGCAGATGATCTGGCTGAGCGAGCTGAAGAAGCTGGGGGCTGCTGTAGAAGTCTGTCACGTACAAGCAGTTGGAGCTAAAAGTAAACGGCTCAGTTGACAAAAGGTGTCTTAACCACATGGGTAACTTGGTTGTTTCTAAGGATGTGGTGGGCCATACACTACTGTTACTGCTTCTTCTAAGTGTTTTCTTCTGAATTCTGGCTTCTTAGTGCACAAAACATTCTAAAGAATAGTCTGAGAAAACTGTCACTTGTGTTCAGTAGAATAAAGCATTTTCTTCTATACACATTTCATAACTGATTCTGTGGAGGGCAATTGAGGGCCTCTGTCCAGTCCAGACAAACAGCTGCAGGTGCTTTTTGTACCATTGAGAACATTCTCTATCATGAACAATGTGGGCAGCAAAGCCTGGTGATTCCCACATTGCATTCATTACCTTCCCTTCAGCTCCTTTCCAGGACCAGCATGGTTTTATAACTGTCTCCACACTGTATCATCTATTTCAATTTTTCATTGTATTTTTCATGTAAAATACAGAGCCAGGCGTTGGTCGCATTGCTTGAGGCATAAAACATGTTTATAAATGTTTCAGTTTGCTGCTGTATCTGACTGAGTGACAGGATCATTTGCTCAGTAACTCCTGTCTGAAATAGCTCTGCTACCTACAAAAATGGGCCATGATGGTTTGGGTAGTAGACAGGAGTTGAGAAGTGCCACCAGGCATTCTGCTTACCATGCAAACAGCAAATGCTTTAATAATAGAATATACTGAGAAATTAATATCAGCTGCACACCTTTTTTTTTCCTCTTAATCAGTCATCTTTCTTCAGCACAGCATCCCTGCTTTTCTTGGAGAAAAAAGCCAAATAGCCCCCCCTGTTTTGTTGTTGGAGGAAGTGAAAGAAAAGCACCTGAAATTCACTCTGGAAAGGTATGAATTTTATTTAGTCTAATTTACTTCACATTCACAAGTCAGCATCAGGATGTTATAATCTTCCTGGCACTGCTACTTTACTCAGTAAATCATTATCAGGCACAAGGGTTTTAGTTTCAATTGAAATAGCAAACTCTACACCATCACAGCAACAGCATTAGAACCCTACTGCCTAGAGCCACTTGAGGTACAGATTTCTGTCTCTTCCACTGGAGGCTGCAAATGTTAGAAATTTTTGGTTTTAATGTTTCTTTCCATCTGAGTGTAAGCCAAAACCTTTGACCCACTTGCTACATCTTCATTCCGAGTACAAGGCAGTCAATAGTGACGTGGTATTGCCAGCATGTGCACACACACACACACACAGGTGCAGGCCTGGGTTTACATGTAACACACTTTTCAATGAGTTTCTGGAATGAAAGGAATTTCTTTGATTTTTGGCAGTAAAAATGGGGAATAACGTTGTCCTACCACAGTGACCTCTACCTAGCAGTAATCAGTGACACCACAGGTACACTTAAATCTTACCAACCTGCAATTTGTGTTTCACCCCCTGCAAGGTTTACAGTGTAGTTACAAAAAATAATGATTATAACAGCTGGTACCAGCCAAAATAGTGCACTTTTCTTTTACAAGAAACAGACAAAAATAGGAGCTTCTCGGTAGCTTTTCTACTCTTGAAACAACCAAATGCCATCAACAGTTTTGTTTTAAAATGGTGAACAGAAATAGTAATTTGAGAACGTGTATACATATACACACACACATTCTATACACACTTGTATGTTGATTTTGTACACAGAAGTACTTGCACACCAAAACTGCTTCTGAAAGCTATTAGAAATGTTCAGAGCAGTCCCTGCTGATGATAAGGCAACTGTGTAGAGTGGAGAGTATTTTGAAATTAGCTTTTAGTACCTGTGTTTCAAAAGCAAATTTAAAGAAGGAAAAAAAAAAAAAGCTGTAGAACTTACTGAGAGGGAAGAACCAACAGTCACAGGTGCTCTCAGTCTGCAAACACAAGGCAGCAGGCAGGCTCCTCTCCTCCCTCCATCCTTTCCATGCAAGTTGGGGATGTCCGTGTGCTCGTCTCCTCAGCCTCTGCCTGCCTAACTCTCCTGCTAACTGCTTATTAAGCAAGTCTGTTATTTTTTAACATCCCCTCCCCTATTATATATGTATAGTTATATGTATATCTATATACATATACATACACATATAGACTACAAAGACCATCTGCAGCATCTGTACCCACTGTTGAACTGAAAGGTAAAAATTTTTTAAGTCTCATTACAGTCAACCTCATTTGTTTAAACATAGCACCCATTTTTCCCCAACAGGCATGGGAATACTGTGTGTTGCATTCTACCAGCTCCCTGTTTGAGTAATTATTTTTTTTTTAATACATTCTAGGTTCTTTTAAGCCAAACAGGTTACACCTTTAAGGGAAAAAAAAAAAAAAAAAAAAAAAAAAAAGGAAAAGACACCATAGTTCTAATTGTAATTTAAGGAGAAAAAAAAAAAAAGAGGAAAAACTGTTACCAAAATACCCCCACACACATGGGTTGAGGTCTTTACATCAAGTATCAGGCCAGGGAAAACAGTAAGCTAGTTCAAAAAAACCATTACAAAAGCAAAATAAGAGTCATTTGAGTAATGAATCAGTTGGCTGACTGCTCCAGCAAGCTTGCAATTAAAAACAGCTTGTTTGGGGACCATATAACATGCTCAGACTGTCTTGCAGCATAATTAGGCAACTGAGGTGAATGCACATTTTTCCCCTCCCAGGGAGCTGAGCAGAAGCAATCTGACATGATGTCATAAGCCCCCACCTGCCCCACACACAGCTTCTTTGCATAAGGGTGGGGGGAAGTGCTGGTTAGTTAAAAAAGGAAGTTTATTTTTCCTTTTCCTCCCACACCTCAGCTCACCTTTAAAACAAGTCCACTCGTCCCTGGCAAACCAAGCAGTGTGAGAACCCAGTGTGCCACTGCTCCTCACAGCTTTGCACTTCACGTCATTTGTAGCCTGGTGAAAATGGGGACCTGTGTGCAGCAGGCTCAGCTAGCACTGTGCTGGCACCTGTAAGGCCACTCTTAAATAAATACTTGAGCCATCATAGACATCCAAAACCCTTGTTACTTTGATTTAGGCTGCATGGAAGACCAGTGTGGTTTTACACAGAAATAAACAACTCCAAATCTCCCTGCTCCCCTCCCTGTTTGTTTGCTTTTTTTTTAAACGCTCTACAGGCTGCATATGATCTAAAACTTCTTTTTTTCTAGTAACTGGGAACAGCTTGATCCAAGGCCTTCAGAGCCTTACCTGGTCAGTAAGGCTCAGCATTGCTTTAGTAGCTTTTGCATTTTACAGAGATCAGGTACTATAAGACTCACTGTTAAGAGAACGTATTCCACAGAAGTATTCTCTTGTCCTCCACCCATGCCTTCACTTCAGATAATGATGCACTCTACTGCCCTCCCACCCCCATCTCTTGTTTGTTTCATGCAGCATCCAGCAGAGAGTGACAAGGCAAAGGTTTAAGAGCTGTGCTTGTCCACTGCATTGTCCACGGGGGCTACTAGTAGGTAAAAAAGAAGGCACTGCTGATCACTCTTCTCCCAGCATCAGCACCCCTCACAGATGCAGCCTCTCACAGCCCAGCCTCTGTTCCAAAATGCGTTAGGGCTGAAGTGTGCCGCAGCCTGGAACTGGGTGTGAGGGATCTGTGCATGACAGTGCTGAATATCAGAGGTGCTGAGAAAAGGAGAGGCTCTCATGAGACTTAAAAAAAATGGGCTTAACCTTTGAGAGGAACAACCTATTGTCTCCTGAGCTATAGCCTTCTCTTATTTCCACAAAAGGAAAGGGGAAGGCAGAGGAAGGAACCAGAACTTACCTTAACAATCTGCTGTAAAAAAAAGGGGAGGGGGGGGAGCAGGTAGCTGCATTAGAGTAAATCTTGCTACGTTTTCCTCCTGTTTAAAGGCACTTCTAAAGCTACTACATTATCTATGTACAGTAAATGGTTTAAGGTTAACAGTGCATTGTCCTGAAGTTGATTCCTATAGCCTAATGGCAAGCTCATGACAAAGAGCAAAAATCTGATTGCTGATGGATGCATTCTGGGGAGAAAGGAAAAGGAACACCTCCTCCATGGATGCACACTACATTAACACATATGAAAGGTGATCCAGTCACAGGACATCAGTATCTGTGTACACATGTTTTCTGCCTGGAAAGTAAATCTGAGGGAAGAGTTTGTGCTCAGAGTTCAGTCGTTACCAAGTGAACACAAGCTATCTGGGAAAATAGGTATTTCAAACAACCCTCATTAACAACCACACCAAACCAGCAGTTAGCATCGGCATTCATTAGAAATGCTCCATCTCATATAAAGAGTTGAACCCCCCAAACACAGAAAGAAGTAGGGACCAGAAACCAGACAAGACATGGATGAGAACTACTGAGGACAAAATTGTGCGATTTGAAGCCTGACTCGCTTTGCTTTTAAATATTTGTGCAAAACTTACGTAATGTTTGTATATAAAAATTATTACAGCTTTCAAGGCTGCCTTTAGCAGTGTTAAATTAGAAAAGACAAAACAATATGCTATAGCCTCCCTGGATCTATAGGCCATCACATCATCTTAGTCTTCATTCGCAAGCGTCTCAGTGGATAGCCAGATTTTGGCACCACTCAAGAATTTGCTTAAAGGCGTTCCCAGAATGCTCCGTCTGCATAGGTTCCCTACAGGTGAAAATGGGAAAGAGGAGGAGAGAAAGTCTGGGGCCCCAGAGGAGTCGTTTAAGCCATTTGCTCTGAAGTACATCCTGCCTTGATCCAGTTCTGAGCAGTTACCTTGCAAAGGAGAGTTGCTTTTGCACTGCCGAAGGCTCCGGTTTAACATGTCTATTTCATCTGCCAGCAAAGAGACTTTATGGAAAGCAGCAATGAAGCCACCGTGATTAATCTGGGCCTCGGGAACCCAGCGGAAGTAGCACAGTTTCCAGAGTTTTATTTGTGTTCCAGAGATATGGGGCAGAATTACGCCGTGCAAATCAACAGGCTTTGCAAACCAGTCTCTGAAGTACTGTTCCATACTGTTACTCTGACTCTCTGTTTGCTGTAAGAAGTCTGGTTTCAGTTTCAGTATCAGAGAGTTTCTTCTTGGAAGGAACTCCTGCTCACTGATGATTCCATTTTTCAATGCTGGGGGGACACCTCGCAGTGTCGAGCTGTAGTTTTTCTGCAGAGAATAAATACTGGTCATTTTCCAGCTTTACCCTCACTGCAACAGCAGATTTCCCTGAGCAATTGCAGGTATTAACCAGCTAAACCATGTGACCTTCAAACAGTTCTGCACTTAGGAGCCACTGCACGGCTCACAGACCAAATGGAGCCGCTTGAGGCCTTCAGAAAGAAATACTTAGGTTTACAAGGCTTAGCAAAACAACAAATGATTGTAGTAATCAGCACTCACAAATGACAACTCTAGGGAACAGAAAGTGTGTCGCTGCTTTTCCACAGGTGGAAAAATGCAGCTGCTGGCAGTGAGCTGAGGTGCATCAGGGAATGCCCTGGAACACAGGCACAGTCTTGTGTATTGAAAGCCCTGTGTGTACCTTTTCTTTAGGCCGTGAAGGTAAGAGAAGCCTTAGCACTCCTAGTGCTAAGTGACAGTGTAAAACATCACGTAACTATACGTTTTTGACTTACAGTTAAGCACAAACAGTCCATTCACAAACAGAAGTCACCAAAGTTACCTTTGAGCGCTTGAAACTTTTCACTGCTCCGTTCTGCACACATGGTGAGCTTTTCCCAATGTACAAAGGGTTGTGAAAGAGCAGGCGATCCCTGCTTGTAAACTGAAGAGACCAGTCCCAAACACAAGGAAATCTGAGGCCCTTCTCATCACCCAGCTGAATATTTTTGCTTATAGCAAATTCCTGCAAGAAGAAACATTTGGGCATATTACAAATCAAACATCTTCCACAAATCTGAACCATAGTAGTGTGTAATAACCAGGTGAGGAGGCATAGCTGAGAGGTGGCTGCAGATCAAACCAGTGCAGCAAGACAGCCTGCTGCTGGAGCACACAGCTGTGCCCTGCTTTTCACTTACGCAGCAGAGATGCAGGACTAATGCTTACTTAGCAAAAAGCACTTCTCAGTAGTATGAAATCGTTCACTATTAAAACAATTCATATTCTGAGAATACACAAATGGTTTTTCAACGTTCTACTTCTTTGTGAGGTTGTTCCCTACAGCTTTAATGGGAAGCTGCCTAACAAAACTCACTCGTGCTTAATTTTTATCAGCCATCAAATATCATCTACACAGAGTTCTCATAAAATCTAGTTTTCAAAAATAAATTCAAGTGCTCAGTTTCCTAAATATCTTGAAATAAACATTCACTGTGCATTACTATTTTGCACTCGCACATCCTTTTCCAACTTTTTATATTGCTTAAATAATTATGTCAGTGGACTTCAAAGTTTGCCTGAAATGTGAAATTCTATAATTGCCTGTCATTCTGCAATTCCAGACATAAATACACGTTTCTTAGTGGAGCAGAAATAATCACGTACAATAGGAAAACTACGTAGAAAAGAAGAAATTCAATAGACTTTCTTCCAGAACACTCTTACTGCCTTTGCAAAGCTCACCTGAAAGGACTTTTGACCATATTAACCCAGGGAGTATTTTGCACCAAACAAGAGTGTGACACTTTGGAAAACACAAAGGAGCACCACTTGCTTTAGATGATGCAGCTGAAAAGGGGCTGGAACACTTTAATACTCACAGTGCTTTCCTTTACTCGTTGATGAGGACAGTTGAAAAGGAAAGTGCCAAACAAGGAGATACGTGCACTGTCATACAGTATCGTCAAGTACATTTCAGAAAACTCAAAGGCTGCTGGGTACTGTTCTAGCAGCTGCCAAACACAGTCGAGAAACATCAAGAACAAAGGGGACTGGGAAGAGAAATGGAATTTAATTAGATCTCACATGGCAACTATTGATAAACAGCATTTCTCTACCCTGGATAGCAACTCATTTTCTCTGACATAAGTTTCATGAAATTTCATGAAAAGTATGGATGATATTTTTACTTTCAGACTTTTTTTGTGAGTAAATGTTTAAGGCAGTACAGTTATCAGATACAAATAAAGTCACTTTTACCTCTTTGTCAGATCTCTTTAAGTGGTTACACCTATCTAAAAACTGATATCCTGCCATGACCCATTCCTTCTGTATCAAGCTTTGAAATCCAACAATCGTTCGAAAGTAGGGATCCAGCATGACTTGAACGAGAGAAGCAACAAGACAGCTCAGGTCCCGTCCCTCTTCCTCTGTGAATCACACAGAATGTATGAAATACATGAGGTGCACATTCACACACACAGATACAAAGTAATATCACAAAGAGCATAAGGAGGCAACTGGGTTTAGTTTTGGATTTCTTTTAAATTTAACATAATTTATAATTATAAAAATATGTATCTTTACATTTATTTCGTGTTGTGGCTTTGTGCAGTTATTTCAGTTTCAAAAATAAGAGCTACCTTTTTTATTTTTAATTTGTTTTAACCAAGACTCATCCCATATTGATGGTTCCTGCCGCATATGCAGCTAGCAATGCATTCACAAAGAACCAAAGCATCCCAGGGAAAGCCTGGTACTTACAAAACACGCTGTGCAGGAGGGTAATCGTGTTGAGGGAAAGCTTTAACATGTATTCTACCCTGAAGCAGTTCTTACAAAGCTAATAAACCAAGGTTGACAAGCATGATACACAAGCTGAACACGTCTTGTAAAAATGACAGAAATTACAATGTTTCTGAACTAGAAAGCAGAAAGTTTTTCAGAGAGTTTTCTTCTAGAATGTCTGTTTGCACTGACATTGGTTGCTCTTGTGTAACTGAAGTGCCACGAGCTGGTAAATGAGCCCTCTGAATTACAGTGGTGTTGCTTACGCAAGGAATTTTAGCCCAGCTTACACAGTACAAAGTCCACCCTGCAGTTCTGATGCTACCATATCATTATCAGAGCAAAAACAAGAAGGCTCAAAGTGAAATTCCCCTTTGATTCTATGGACTACACTACAGTCCAGAAACATAATAAAATTATCTTCCATTCCAGGTCCTCAAACGCTTAAAATATTTAGAACTGATGTGTTTATCACTTATAAAGATTATAGTTTATTTTAAGAAATTGTGTTTGTGTACATTACACCGTTCATGCTAAGAATTACAGGCATGGCTGTATTACCTTGTAGAACTACAGAAACGTGCTTACACTCCATCATGTATACGAGCTCAGCAGAATGCTTAAGAAATGATCTAGACAGGGAAAGAAAGTGATATCGCAATTAATATTATAGTTTCACACTCTTAAAAAATATTAGTCCTACCTATATTTCCCTAATTTGTTAATTACAATAGCAAATCCTTCAACCGATTCACTTCTTTCTTACACTGTGCAAGTCTTCCACATCTCATGAGCCATTTTATTAATGATACAAACCTGATATACTCTAACCAGCGAGTATTTTCCAGTGAGGACAGCCACTTCTCTTCTGTTTCTTCGAAGGGCTCTGCAACAAGGAAAGCAGTAATGCTGCAGAACAACTATCTATTCTCTTATGTCTATTAGAATTGCAGTTCAAGGAAACGACCACCTCAGAAGGACAGCTCAGCTTACCGTTAACACACAGCTGTTTGAGTTTGATGTGCGCAGCCTGGATTTCCTGGATGCTGGGGAGACACTTGTCCAGATCAGATTTGTAGACGTCACTTCTCAGGGGATGGCTTCGAGTTATTGCATTACAAATCCTTAAAGAAGTAAAAATAAAAAATTTTATTTAATTACTGGGGAGACAGAGAGAGACAGAGAGAGACAGAGAGAGACAGAGAGAGACAG